CATGACTCTACGACCACCAAAGGGAATATTAGCATGAAGGTCTAAGGAACCTGGTGGCTAAAGGAGCCAGGAGTGAGTGTATGTCCCCCATTCTGTGTGCCCTTTGCTGTGTATGTCCCTCCAAAGCACATGTATGTTCAGGAGGTATGCATATGAGGGTCACGCTTATTTTTAAAAAAATCCATTTACTGGAATGGGTGAGATATATTCAGATGTTACCAATAGTTCAGCACTACAAACCACCTTCACATTTATCTCTAACATTATCTTCAGCAATTTCTGAACGGGGAGATAACTGACAGCATGAGAAATAGTAAAAACATTTTGGTCATAGCTGTTTGAGTAATATGATGTTCCACCTGTATACATAACCCTTGTTACAGTCACGTAGCAACTCAAAAACATACTGGATTACTGCTGTTTGCTCATAAAGGCCAAGAAAGAGTTTTTTCACACAAATTTATGACCCTACTGGAGGTTATCGTCATCCTCTGAAGCACTGAAGTTTGGTCCCCATAGACAGGATGTGCAAGTTCTCCTAGAAGGATGAAAACTCATTTGTGCAGCAACCTTGTCTTTCTGATTTTGTTAGGGTTAAACCAAGTGCCGGATTTGGAAGGGACTCCTCTGCTCACCTTAGGCTGGCAGGAACTATAGAACAACATTTTCTTTTTTTTTTTTCCTTTTGATTTTCCACCATCTCATAGAGCACATTCAGCTTCCTGGAGACACCTGGACATGTTGCGCTGCAAATTCCCTGTTCCTGCTTGGACTCATTTTTTCTCTCTCATCTTGCTGTGGCACACTGCTCGTTTTATTCCAGGAACTACTGCTAAGGAGCACTGCTGCTGATCGAGCCGTTTCTTGCAGATCAGACTAAGCATCTCAAAGCTTAATTTACAACTGCATATTTGTAAATAACTACTGCAGAGAGAAGGAAATGAAGAGAATAGTATAGTGTCAATGCATTTTTGGCCTTACTGAGTATCATGCCCATGAACTCAAGAACACATTAGCCAAACACTTTCTAATTTGTTTCAAGACATCTCTGAGTGTCTGAGTTGATTCCATCCACTCTTCCTAAGGCACAAACTAATGCAACCACTATGGAACAATTCTGTGCTGCGAAGTGAGCGGTGACCCTGCAGCAGAAGAGGCCCTGAAGGCAGATGCTGTGTTGGCACTGCGCTGCCTGATAACTTGCCATGTCCAGCCTTCTCATTCACAGAGGGTCCTGCCAGTGCCCAAATTCCTCCTCTCTCTGTACTCCACCATTCATGTTCACTTCTGTTTGTTGTGCCCTTGCAAGAAACTGAATATTTTTTGGCAATAGAATATTGAGGACTGGCCTTGGAGAATACAGATTAATCACTCCCCTGGATTTACAATCCCAAGTCAGACTTGACATTGAGGAAGTGTTGTAGTTTAACCCGGCAACTGGCAGCTACACACTAGACAGCCGCTTGCTCACGCCTCCCCTTTGCCTCCAGCGGGATGGGGAGGAGAAATGGACAAAAGGTAAAACTCATGGGTTGAGATAAAGATGGTTTAATAAGACAACAAAGGAAATACTAATACTAATACCAATACCAATACTAATGAATATGCAAAAAATCCTATAAGCAACATGATTTTCTTAGTGCCCGATGACTGATTTGTAGCAAGTCCCCAAGCAGCGTTCGCAGAACCCGTGGGTTTCCCAGAGCTCATGAATTTCATATAGCTCACCAAAGTCAGGGAAAAAGACCAAACTCCTGCAAGAGTTCAAACACCTGGACAAGAGAGGATTTGAACCCATAGAACAGAGAAAGAAAGATTCCTACCAGCCCCCATTCATAAACTGAGCATAACATCCATGGCATGGAATATTTCCACTGGCCAGCCTGGGCTGGCTGCCTGGCTGTGCTCCCTCCCAGCTCCTGCACACCGGCTCATTAGCTGAACATGAGAAACTGGAAAAAAGTCTTTGATTTCATAGCAACAACCAAAAACATCAGTGTTATCAACAATCTGCTTGTACTAAATCCAAAACACAGCAGCTACTGGGAGGAAAATTAACTGTATCCCAGCCAACACCAGGACACTTGTGTGAGTTACAGAACAGATCAGAGGACAGTGATGCCCAGTTCATAACGCTGAACAGGTTTCTCAGGGCACTGGAAAAATTCTACTCTTTTTACATCAGGGAACTGTTCTGTTGTGACCAATAGCTTTTGCAGATATGCACTAGTTGGCTCAGGTCTTGCTCTCAGGGTGACCATGTGAGTACAGAGCTCTTCCCAATTGTGAAGTTTCATAAATATCTGGGTGTTCCCCCACAACAAGCTGTCCACTGCCATAGCTTTCCTGGATGCTGGGCAGCTTGCTTAGAGTTAGCCTGAGAGCGTCTGCCCAGTCACTGACCACAGATGTAGATGTGTCATCATACACATTGAGGGTCTTCCTTGCTTACGTGAGGACCCAGTTTCAAGGGTGTATGAGTGGTCCTTGGAACTCCACAGAATGGTCCAATGCAAGGAGATGGCAGCAACCATCACCACCTGCTGGAGAGCCATAAAATCACAAGCTTTTGCAGATGACGTCTTCTGTTTCCCTCCCTCCACTGGGTTCTGCTCAACTTTCTGATGATGCCTGAGTGCCAGAAAAGTTATCTGCCACGTCAGAGTTACGTGACTTAATGCCTGTTGTGTAGGTGCTCTTTCTCTCTTGGTGAATTGGGATGACTAGAGAAGAGTTGCTTTTCTGTTCTGGAGCTAGTGGTAATAAAGAGACACAATTTCTGTTCTGCACTGCAAGAAAATGGCTCACCTGTTAATTCCAGCTTCTGGCAGGCAACCTTGTCTGCACCCCCAGATCCACTTCTGAATGGGGCTCACCCTCTTTTGCAGTCTTTTGCTGCCAGGAACTTGCTTTTGGTTTCACCCAGTGGGGTAGTTTATTTGCATAAGAGCAAGTCACCGCGAGGAAATATTCAGCTGAGTAACATTGCTAACGTCCAAAGTTCGGTCTTAGGGAATAGAAACTGAAACAAAATGTAAGACTAATAAAAGGACATCCATCACCCGAGCTAACAGACAAATCCAGAAATATCCATGGCTGCTGTCACTGATAGAGGTAAGTACATGTATGAGAAAAGCGGGTCTATTTCTCCATATTCAGCATAGGTATTTACTGTAGTTGTATCTCAGGAACCGGTGTGTACAGACAAATGTGTGTGCTGGCACATGAAGATACACAGGAGACACTTGTGGATTTGTGTCTGTTATATTTTTAAATGCATTACCATATCTGGAGTCTTAGGTCCAGCTTCAAAATATTAATATAATTCTGTTAACCCTGATGTGGCATTAGGCAGGAAGAAATAAAATTCCAAAAGACCTCTTAATGTGGAAAGAGATCTCAAAGGCAATTAAGAATGGAGCAATTTACGTGGCTTGTGTTTTCACCTACTTTATTTTCAATGCAATAAAAAGCTAGAAAATGCCTCTTAAAGAATCAGTGTAAAAATATTGTGCAAGGAGCTGATCAGGTTTCTGTTGACGTGGAAG